CTCTATTTCTTTTAACAAAAAGAAGTTCATTAACTGTATTAGGTTTAAGCCTATTTCTTTCATTTGTTATTTGTTTACTCATATTACTAAAAAGACATTCACAAGAAACAGATGTTGAAGGAATTTCTAAATATTTTTGTGATATTTTAAAAAGGGTTGAAAAATTATTTTTATTTTTTTTCCACCAGTTAAATAGCAATATTACTATTAGCTTGTGGTGTTCAAGTTTTATTAAGGTATTGATCAACTTCATCTTCAGAAATAATTTTATTCTCGTCATCGTCAAATAAATGTGACTTAAAATTACGATTATAATTAATGGTTCTATCTTCAAAAAAATTATTTTGATGATTACTAGATTCTTGAGTATTTAAATCTTTCTCATTCGTATATTCTGATTTTAATAAAGCAATTGCTTTTTCTTTCTCATTTTCTAACCATCTTTTCATTTTTTTGAATCTAGGATCTAAGAGACTTGCAAGTAAAACAGAATCTGGCAGAAAATCAAAATATTTAAAAAGGGCATCATAGATTGTATTTTTAACCAATTTATAAATATTTGGTTTCTTAGATTTGTCTACTTCATTATCAGTAATATCATTAGTATTATCATCAATATCTTTTATCTCAGGTTCTTCTTCAGTTTCGTCTTCAGTTTCTTTATTATTGGATATTTCTTTTATAATATTTATAATTATTAAATTAATATATTATTTAATAAATAAATCACAGTTAAAATAACAAATTTAATAATTTTATTAACAATTACTATTGATAGCTTATTTAGCTAACATTATGAATTTAGTAAAAATATATGCTTGCAACTAATCAATGCCTAATCCTAATCCTATTTAATATTAGCTAAATAAATTAATTTAACCTGTAATTTTTGCTGATTATATTATGAAATTTGTATTCTTTAACTTCAATTTACTATATACTTAAATAAATAAATAATACCTTTACTATTTTCTTCAATTACGATATAATCATATTTTAATACTTGAATTGTAAGAAATATTAATGATAATATGCAATATTTTTGACTACTAAGCTACTTTATTACTTCTTCAATTGGTTTAAAAAGTTTAATTAGTTGATCAAGCAAGTCCCATTCCCATGATTTTAAGAACCGTTTTTTTAATATTTCATAGTCTTTTTTCGCCTCTCTATTAGTTTCTAAAGAAAGTTTAAAGATTATATGCTTTATAGAATTTTTTAATTCTTTTAAGCGTTTTTAAGAAGCTAAGAAAGACCCCATCGAGTATTGCATTCATTAATGGTTCTTAAAATTTTTAAGGGTATATAAACTACTTCATCTGTAGATTCAGATAATGTTTAATCTGAAGTAAAATCTGATGAAACTTGATTAAGCAAAGGTTGGCTAGACATTGAATTATCCAAAGTCAAATTATAATCATTATTATTAAGACTTTCGTATCCTAATTAACGTTGTGCTTCTTCTAACTTTTCATTTTGTTTAGATGAATTAAAAAATTTACTTAAATTTTGAAATCTTTTTAAATATAGATTGATTTTTTGTAAAGCTTTAACTATATATAATTGGAGAGTATGTGCTGTATATGATATACGTTCAACACCCCCACTCACAAATTGTCTTGACTATATTGGAACTATTATCTGTAACTATTATTTTAACTTTGTTATTCAGTTCTAAAGATATAAGTTTAGTAATAATAGTATTACGAATATGGTCACCTGTGCATGGATATTTGATAGGTTCAATACAAACAAGAATATTATATAACTTCATTTCATTACTTAACCAATAGCATATTATTCCGATATACTTCTCTTTAGCACGTGATATCCAAAGATCTACTGTTATAGCTACATTATTACATGATTTACCAATTAATTCTTTTATTACCTGAAACATTGTTTGATAACTAATGCCCAAAGTCTTTTTGATAGTTCTATAACATGGCAAATGAAATGCTAGATCAAATTTCTTTATTATATTCTGAAACCCTAACCTATTTACTGCATTAAAAGGTTGAGAATCCATTATTATCCAGTTAGTAACAGCATTTAATAATTCATTTTGTTTAGATTCTTTGTGTGGCATTATTTTTTTTAGTTGGCTATCAATTTTTAGTTGTGTCTGTCAAAAATTTAAAAAATTTTATTAGCATAAATTTATTTTTTGTTATTTAATATAACGGGTTAAAATAAAATAAGATTAAAGTAAAATTTGTATAGTGTAAAATAAAAAAACCACCAAAAAATACAAAATTTTGCATTTTTTTAGTTTTTTTTTAAAGGTTAGAGTTAGCTTTAGTGGTTGAATTTATAGTAAACAAAGTATAAATAGATTTTAAAATGTTAAACAAAAATCTCAAACTTTATTTTAATCTGATTTTATTATAACTCATAATATTAATTCAGTAAAGCATAAATTTTACTTACTAATTTTTCTTTATATTTTTTATGAATAGTATTTAAATGGTGATTCATACTACTAGTTTGAGAATTATATATACAACTTCATTTATATTCCTCATTATCTTCATTATCTTTGTGCCTGCAATAAGCACGACCATTGGTCTTTACTCCAAAATATTTTTAAACCCAACTAGTCTTATTGTTGCCAAAATTAACTCATTGAGGTTCTTCAAAATACAGGTCAGAATTATTATCATGATTCTTATTATAATTTTTTTTATTTGATTGAGAAAGTGTTGTCTGCTTACTATGTTTCTTTGAATTCAACATTTCAAAAGAAACTAATTAATAAATACGTATCAATATACTGCATTTATATATACATACACCTATGTATAATTATATATTATTGTTATATCATAATTGAAATGAATTAATTTTATAAGTTAATAAGCAAGGATATGCCAAAAACAATCTGGTTAGATCTAAAAATATGGCTATTAATCTAATATCATGTGAATATACAGATAAGTATAATTTAATGAATTACTTAATTTGATATAACAATACAGTTACCAATAATAATAATCCTCATTATTAGAATCAATACTTACTATTCGGTTTAGCACTCGAGTCCTTCTGCCTATTCAGAATTTATATAAATCCACATAAAATTTGCTATTTTGTAGTAATTCAAATTTTATATCAAAGTTGGCAGTATAAGAGATCACTAGTTAATACTATATATTATATCTGTACTGATATACATAAGCCACTTATTTTTAATAATAAAGTTTAATTAGTATTACAGAGTCTACAGTATTATCTTGCCCAAACAGTTAGAAAAATATTATTCATTTGGGGCTTTTATTCTCACATAAAACATTTTTACAGGTGTGTATCTTTTCTCGCTTTTTTTATTTTTTGATTAAAAACTTATTCACTATTTCTATTTAAATTAATTCTATCAATTACACTATTTTATACCAAATTAAACTTTAAACTCTTATACATATTTACATACATACATCATTAATTTAATTAAATACTTGCCCAGCACTAACACCCTCAGTATAATTCTGACTGATTATACTTTCATGTAATATGTTCGTTATATACAAGTTTGATTTTTGTTTTCCACTTTCTTGTAAAAGTTATTATCAATTAGCATCCTCCTTACAGAGTGTAATGATAAGGATTGCCTGATATAAACGGGAAGAAGTGATCTGAAAAAAATATAACCCAAAACTAGAGGCAAAGCTATAAGACCCAGGACCTTAAATGTACATTGATCGATAAAGGCAAAGACATTTAGTAATGTTAATTCGGGTTTGGCTCAAGGCAAAGCTCCATTGAGAACAATAGTAAAATGCCTTTAATATTCAAATGGTAGAAACTAAATTCATAGTCATGTAATTTGAGTGTGAATCGCTCATTATTAGCCAATACTCAAAATAGTTATATTGCTCATAAGATCTAAATTGTAGTAGCAAAGCCTTAATGCTATTTATAATATATATAGACCTGTTAATTTCATGTACTTGAGAGCAAGATAGAGAAGTAAGAATCATAATTAATTAATAAAAACCATTTAATCTGGGATCTTAGTGACAGTAGGATTCTTAGTTCTCAGACCAAATTTTCCGCGCCTTCTTTGGAGAAGCTTTTACTGTGTTCCATGTTTTTGATATATTTTGGTTATAGAATCATGGTGATCTGAATCCACCCTTTTATACTAGAAACTACATGATAATTGGTGTAATATATTTAAAATAAGCTTAAGTGTATAATATATTCACTATATTAGTCTAAACTGTTAAGTTCATGTTACCGTATATTGCCGAAAATAAGCCACCTTCAAAAATAAGCTACCTTCCTTTTTTTGGGGTCGTCTAAAGCGGAGGCACATCATGTGATCAACAGCCAATCAAAT